TAACCGTTAAAATCGTCAGAAATTCGTCGGAATATTCCGACGAATTCCCGACGACATTCTGATAAATTATATAACCGTTGTATTCGTCGGAATGTCATCAGTAAATTCCGACGAAACTTTTGAACGTTGCATTTGACCGTTGAGGTAACTAGATTGATGGGTATCAAGACAGACTATAATTTGGCTGAAGAATGTATGGATGCGATTACTGATTTTGTCAAAGGTATTCTACCTGAGGATAATCTTGCACCGGGTTCATACTACGAGGTTCAGAAACTTGTTGCGGGTCTTCAACTACCATACGAAGTGATAAATGTATGTATTGACAACTGCATGATCTACTGGGAATCGGATAAGGAACGTGATAAATGCAAATTTTGTAGGAAACCTCGTTATCAGGAGATGAGGGGAAGAGTTCCAATCCCGTTCAAAAAGATGTGGTATTTGCCTCTAACGGAAAGATTGAAGAGGTTGTATCAGTGTGAGCGCACAACAAAAGCAATGAGATGGCATGCAGAGCATTGCACAAATGGGGAGATTAGACATCCTTCAGATGCGAAGGCTTGGAAACATTTACAGTCAACGTATCCAGAATTTGCGAAAGAGAGAATAAATGTTTATCTTGGATTATGTACTGATGGTTTCAGCCCATTTGGAAAGAATGGAAGACAATATTCTCTATGGCCAGTTATTGTGACACCGTACAACTTACCGCCAAGCTTGTGCATGCAACGAGAGTTTTTGTTCCTCTCAATTCTCGTCCCCGGGCCAGAGCATCCCAAGAGATCACTAGATGTGTTTCTCCAACCATTGATACATGAGTTGCAACAACTATGGGCGCATGGTTTTGAGACATACGATATTTCGTGCAAAGAAAACTTTTATATGCGGGCAGTACTTATGTGGACAATAAGTGACTTTCCAGCATATGGTATGTTATCCGGATGGACAACACATGGGAGGCTATCATGTCCATATTGTCAAGATGACACAGATTCTTTCCAACTAAAGCACATAAGGAAAACGTGTTGGTTTGACTGTCACAGAAGATTTCTACCACCTCATCATCCATACCGTAGGAGTAAGACCTTGTTTACGAAGAACAAGCAGGTGTTTGATGGTCCACCTGAGGAAGTTAGTGGGGAAGATTTGTGCAAGCAGTTGAGGGATTTTGGTGCAGATAGGACGCCAGATGTAGGTGGACATGAAAACATTCGAGTCGATGCGGTTGGAGAGCTACATAACTGGCACAAAAAGAGTATTTTCTGGGATCTGCCATATTGGAAGAATCATCTATTGCGGCATAATTTAGATGTCATGCATATCGAGAAGAATTTTTTTGACAATCTGATAAACACAATCCTTAACATCCAAGGTAAAACGCAGGATAATTTGAAGTCAAGGTTGGATTTAGTCGATATATGTGATCGTTCTGAACTTCACGTTGATGAGAACGGTACGGCTCATTTTCCCATTTATCGGCTGGATGGTGCTTCAAAAGAAGAGTTCTTTGATTGGATTACAGATAGAGTGCAATTTCCACACGGTTATGCATCAAATTTGCGGAACTGCGTTGATAGAAGCGAAGGAAAGTTTACTGGCTTAAAGAGTCATGATTGTCATGTAATTATGCAGCGTCTCCTTCCGTTTGCTTTTTCCGCACTATTGCCACGTAATGTTCATGAAGCAATTGCAGGTATCTTATATTTTACATTTTAATTGATTTTTATATTTAACATTAATTATGCATATATAAACGTAACACTTAGAAAATTTTGTCTTTTATCTATGTAGGGATAAGTGGTTTTTTCTGGGATTTATGCACCAGAGCAGTGACTGAAGAGGGTATTAGTAATCTGAAGGCAAACATACCAGTCATCATATGTAACCTTGAGAAGATATTTCCTCCAACATTCTTTGATGTAATGGAACATCTTGTTATTCATCTCGCAAGAGAATTAGAACTTGGTGGTCATGTGCAATACCGATGGATGTATGTTTTCGATCGTTATATGCTTCATCTGAAGAAGATGGTCAAAAATAACAGCAGGGTGGAAGGATCTATAGTCGCGCAGGTGATCAATGAAGAAACTGCAATATTCGCTGAAAAATATTTTCCATCAGAAGTGCATACAAAAAACCGAAGACCTGCTCGGCATGATGACAGAGGGGAAGGAGCAACATATCATGTTACTGTCCCAAGCATGTTCAGAGAAATAAGAAGACTTAGTGGAAAACCCACGAAGCGGAGACTTACGGAGACTGAGCACGCTCATTTGCAAACATATTTGCTCACCAACCGTGAAGATGTTCTACAATATGAGAGGTAAAATATTCATTCATTTAAATTGGTAGACTCATTTAAATTGGTAGATTAAATTTGCAAACGTTTTTGTTATTTCCAGTAATATATTATATATAATAGAACGTTTTTGTTATTTTTATATATATTTAACAACTTTTTTTATATTTAGTAAATGTTTTATAAAACGTTTTCTAATTTTTAAAAACGTTTATGTAATTTTTATAAATATTTGACAATTTTTGTTTTAAAAGATTTGAAAAGAATTCTGATGTATTGTAATTTTTTTTAGGGCCGAGGATGCACCCACCCGTCCCACATTGCCCCGTCGTCCATCACACCGTGGCGGCCGAGTTAGTTCACTGAGCAGTTCCCGTGCATCGGGATCGTCTCACGAACAAAACTCGGTTCCCGGATATGCTCCCCCTCCAGTTGTTGAGCAGGATCCGGGGGTCATGTCAATTGAACAATTGGTTCAACAACCAGGTCGAGAGTATCTCCCGGTTCTTCATCCCAACCCACAGCCGGGACATACGACTTGGTCAGTATCTTTATTTTATTTGTATAATTATGTTTTTTTACATTAATTAACTTTCTAACATGCATTTTTTTAAGGTTTGACAAGTCGAGCAATGGCATTAGCAGGAGCATCAACAATATGATGTATTCCATGCTTCGTACCGGATATCCGAAGTGGAGTGTGATCCCTCACGAGGAACGAGAGTTGTGGTTTCGTCAGTTTGCGGTAACTCTTCAAAATTTTAAAGCATTTTCAATTATTTTTTTATATATTTACTTATAAAGTTATCTGTGTTTTGTAGCAAGAGTTCACTTGGGAGTCTCGTCTCACATAAACAGTCCGTCAGAGATTCAACGAAAAGGCCATGGACTCTTATACGAAGCAGATCAACGCGTGGAAGACAGTATGGCAGAAGAACAAGAGGACACGGTTCATCAACGGGACGGTATGGGAGCAGTTGATAGTCCATTGGGGGAAGGACGAGACTGCAACGACATCTCGCAACAACTCCAAGAACCGGAAGAGCAATCGTGGCGGGTAAGGTATGTATGTGCACAACCTCGGCGCTTGCTCTATGTCTTCCAAGGAAGATCAACTTGTAAGTTCTATTCTTTTTATTTAACTTTTTTAATTTAATAAATATTTTTATATTATTCATTGGCTAATGGTTGTTTTTTAGATTGAAGCAAATGATGGTAATCTCGTTGATCGTCTCACTCTCATTAAAGAGGCTCACACTAACAAGAAGACGGGTCAAGTTCAAGATCCCGTGATGAGATCTGTCGTTGAGTTGGTGGAAACTCAAAAAGAAGCTCTTCTAGATTCTCAGCCTCTCTCTAATGACGGCGATTCTACCGGAGCTTCAACCAACATGTTATGGTTGCAAATCAGTGATATGGTTGAAAAGGTAATTTTAATTAATATATTTATTTTATAATGTAGTTTACTTACTAACTTTAAATATTTTTGTAGGCGGTTCCTAAAAGGAAAGGAGGTCGTTTAGTTGGGTTGGCTCGTCGTTTTTCTTCGGGTCCGGGGTCTTCTTCGCAAGCTTCGTATACCGATCCCATGATTCTGGAGCAGCTACAGAACAAAGATGAACGGATTATGGCATTGGAGGAGCAGAACACCACTATCATTGCTGAGCTGGAATCCCAAAAGAAGACCAACGCTCAGATAATGGAAAAGCTAGAACGTTTGTTTCCTACTAAGTTTTAAAACTTTGTGTTTTTTAAACTTTATAAATGTTTTTTTTTCTATTTACGTTTGTATGAATTTAAATTTTATAATATTATTAGTTTTAAATTTCATATTTTGTTTATTTAGATTAATTTTAAATATAAAAATATTTAAAATTAAAAAAAAACAATAAAAATGGTATATTCCGACGAACACAGTTCGTCACAATATACCGACGAACTGGAGTCGTCGGAATATACTGACAACCTAAGTTCGTCGGTATGTTGTGACGACTTCAGTTCGTTGGTATATTGTGACGACTCCAGTTCGTCGGTATATTGTGACGAACTATGTTCGTCGGTATATTGTGACGACTCCAGTTCGTCGGTATATTGTGACGAACTCTGTTCGTCGGAGATAATTGTTCCGATGAATCCTGTCCTCGGAAGGTATTATCGGAGTTTCGTCAAAAGTTCGTCGAAATATGATTTCTCGGTGTTCGTCAGAAAGTCGTCGGAACGTTCTGAGTATAAAATATGTCTTCTATTTTAGCTTGATATAGGTTAGTTAACAATTTTGTATCTTACCTTCTGAGTCTAATTTTTTATACACTTGATTTTGACGTTCCTCTCTACTAAGTGACTTTGATGTAAACGTTGAAACAAACTTTCTGTTTATCTGTCTTAATCATTAGTTAATAACCTGGCTGTATATTTCCAGTTTCTCAAAGAAACGATGTATATTTCCATTTTTAATTTATGTTCAAAACAAAATTACGATGGTGGTACAACGATGACATTCACTACCAAACAACTTTTTTATCGGCAACTACCAAACTGCTTAACATATCCCATATGATGACAAAATATATATATATACATATACATAATTATTACATACACATATACATATATACATAAAAGTTGTTTCTTCTCCCTATAAAATGACACTAAAAGATTGTTCAAACCAACATTCTCAGTATTCAAACCAAAAACAACAATGGCAAACCAACCTCAAAATCCTTTAACCACTTCCTCTAAGCTGAGTCTCATAAAAGAAGAACAATCTGCCGAAGAAGCGGTGAGCTTACAAGCGGATAGCCTCGTGACCATAATGGCCTTACCCATGGTTCTCAAAGCGGCCTTGGAGCTTGGCGTCATCGAAACGTTAACAGCCGTAGATGGAGACGTGTGGCTCTCGTCTTATGAGATTGCACTTCGTCTCCCGACCAAACCCACCAATCCTGAGGCACCGGTTTTGTTGGACCGGATGCTAATTTTTCTAGCCAGTCACTCCATCTTGAAGTACCGTATGGTTGAAACAGGAGAAAACGGAAAGACCAAGAGGGTATACGCAGCTGCACCGATTTGCAAGTTTTACTCGACACGTGGAGACGGCTCGGGTTCTCTTGCGCCTCTCTTCCTGTTAAACCTAAGCGAAATTTATTTCAAGACATGGTACATACAATTCCTTCTTCATTTTATTCATTAATAAGCGGCAATAGTTGATCACTTTATTAGGTTTGAAACAAAATCTATAACATTATTTGAGAAGTAAATTTGCCTAATTGTCAACTTCTCCATGATTTTAGTTTATTTTGCTTATTTTCATGTTTTAATAATTTATTATAAAATAAAAACGAATTTATGTTAATAATATTATACTTTTAGAAAATATGTTAATTATTTTGTATTAGATTGTTATCTTAAACATATATTTTCAATTATAAAATTTAAGTGAATTTGCTGATTAATTTGTAACCTTCACGTTGAAAGTTAGAGCGGTTAATATCGTTTATATCCTTAATGAACAATTACAAATTTTAATATAATTAAACGTAAATAAAAAACGAATAAACATTATTAAAGATAATTTTTTTATATTTTTTTGTTTTGTCTAAAAATGATATTAATTTATTACTAAATGTTTTAAGTTCATGAGTATTTTCAAATATAAGTTGTATAATGAAAATTATTTATATGATGAGGAAAACTTTTATATATAAAAAGAATTTGTTTAGTTTATTATTAAATATTTTGAGTCTATGAACTATAATTTATTATAATTTTCATAAATTGATTATATATTTATTTATAGATATTAGTAAAATTATTAAGCCCGCAAGTACGGGCAAAACACCTAGTTTATATTAATAAAAACCAATTACAAACCAATAATTAGTAAACTAATATAACAATAGAAATAACGCACAGTCAACTAACAATTGTTTTTTTGTTTGTTTTTTTATAGGAAGCATTTCAAAGATGTGATTTTAGAAGGAAAGGATGCATTCACTTCTGCTCATGGCATGAGTTTTTTCAAATACATTTGTTGGAACGGACAATTCGGTGAGATGTTTATCGAGTCGATCTCAGACGCTTGCACGTTGACCATGAAGAAGGTTTTAGAAGTTTACCGAGGATTCGAAGATGTAAACACTTTGGTGGATGTGGGAGGAGGACTTGGAACTGCTATAAGTCTAGTGATTTCTAAGTATCCTCATATTAAGGGAATCAATCTCGATATAACATGTGTTATAACCCATGCTCCTCTTTATCCAGGTATAACACATAACTGATCAAATTAATAAACTAAATTTGTTTTGAAGTGCTAGTTTTATTCATAGCTCTTAAAAAGGTTACATTTGTTTTCCTATATTCTAATATTTGGTTTATGTAGGCGTGGAGAATGTTTCAGGAGACATGTTTACAGAAATTCCAAAAGGAGATGCTATGTTCTTAAAAGTAAGTTCATATAATATGTTTACAATTTTAATGGAATTTTTTAATCATCACCAAATATTAAGTCCATGGTCAACCATATATTAACAACAGTAAAAAATTATATCAATAACAGTGGATACTGCATTGTTGGAATGACGAAGACTGTGTAAAGATACTGAAAAACTGTTGGAGAAGTCTCCCTGAAACAGGAAAAGTGATAATAGTCGACGTGATGAAGCCGACGCAGCCAAAGATCGAGGACTTGTATTCGAACAATGCGTTCGCCAAGGACATGGTGATGCTAACGTTTTTATCGGGTGGTCAGGAGAGGTATTTTTGTGAGATCGAAGCTCTGGCCTTTGCTTCGGGGTTTCGTCGTTGTGAAATCATCTGTCTTGCATATTCGTATTCCGTTATCGAGCTTCACAAGTAGATTCATAAGTTTACCTAGAAAGACTCGTACATGTGGGGGAATAAGGGGTATTTGATGCTGGGAGCATGTGCACCCATTCAAATAAGTATCTATTTTAGAATGTTGTGCTTAAAACCATTGAAATGGTATAAATAAATTTATGCAGCCTCAGTCTCTCATGTTTAGTTCTCTAATGTGTTTTTCTTATTGATTAATAATGTACCCATGTGGGAATAATAAAGATAATGTCTCAAAATCTCTTATTAAGCTTTTAAACCACAAATCTTCGTTCATTGTGTATGTCAATGCTACAAAACCCCACACGGTAGTTGACAAAGCCGCCACTTGTTTAAGTCCTGACTTCCAACTCGCATCATTTTCAACCACATTGAAAATATAACTATATGTTAATATTCTACAATTAAAACCAAATTCATATGGTTTTAGATGAAACTTTATATTATTTAATCAAAATCCTATTTTTTAAAATAATTCACCAAATTGTATTCTTTTAATTTGGTATACAACTTTTTGTGATTATATATAATTGGCTCACATGCGTGAAAGACAAATTGCATTGGAAAATCTATCCAAACTGTCAAACAACGAGAGTTAACCAACTCAGTTTAAACATACAAACAAGCCACTGATTCATTACTAGTGATAAGTGGTACAAATCTGGCCTAAGCTGCTTTAGCTGTTTCACGAACAACGGCTAACTTAGCTAGAAGACCACATAGCTGGAGATATGATCCAACTCCATCACAGATTCTCATATGCGCAAATCCAGTTTCCTGAAGAACACAAAACACGTGTTAGTAGGTGAGTGTGATGATGTTTTGAGATGTGAAGAAGAAGAAATCAGAATGTATACCTTCATGAACTCAAGTTTCAGATACTCAGCCATATCATAATTCTTAATTATACGGAAAAGTGTTGTGATAATGTCGGTAGGAGAGTAGCCTAGATCGTATAGCTGCTTCATGCCGTGACAAGCATCGTCAAACTTACTTTCCAACACATTGCGAACCATGTTCTTGACATGAAGCGGGTGAGGCTGGTCACAGACCTGAAAGAAAAAACGAGGAGGAAATAAGTGAAGAAAGAGATCTATCATTTATGACCAGCTAACTGAACTAAGGTTTTGTATCGAACCTTGAAGACGTTTTCTTGGTTGACAAAGCGAAACCCGCTGAATGTAGCTTGCAAATTGTTCAGAGCTTGCCTCATGTCACCATCAGCTGTGAAGATTATCGCCTCAAGGCCTTCAGGTACATAAGGAACCTTGAGAGATTTGAGGACACAAGCAATTAGAAATGACGAAAATGTTCAGCTATCCATATTACTTAGCTTTCTTTACGCTGATTAGGCTAAACAGGGAATATAATTCATAGAATGTAAACTTGTAGAAGAAAAGAAAAGTAGAAGAATCCATACATTCTCAGCTTGAACCACGACCATGAGACGGCCTAGTATCTCCTGATCAGATAGCCTAGAGAATCGAACAAGGGCGCATCTACTCTGAATGGGCTCAATAATCTTGCCTGAGGTGTTACAAGCAAGTGCAAACCGGGTAGAGTTTGAGTAGATCTCAATAGTTCTCCTCAAGGCTTGTTGTGCGCCAGATGTCATGCTGATTTCACAAACCCAAAAATGAACCAGTTAAAAATTGATTACTGCAAGTCAACGGTGTAAAATGCAGAGAAGAGAAAGAAAAGACTCAAGTAAAACCTGTCAGCTTCGTCAAGAATGACAACCTTATGACGCCCAGGAGGAAGTGTGACTTTCTTCTGGGCAAACATCTTAATCTTGTTCCTAACAACATCGATACCCCTACACCACAACCCAAAAAAAAAACAACGAAATGAAGATGGAATCAAAAAGATTACAGCTTCGAAAATCAAAAGAATGGTCATCACAAATAAAGATACCTATCATCAGAGGCATTAAGCTCGAGAACAGCTTCTCTATAATTGGGGCCTAGTAGCTCGTGAGCAAGAGCCAAAATGCTAGTGGTTTTACCCGTTCCAGGAGGACCCTGTGGGGATATCAAACAAACAACACAAGAGCACAAAGTCCTTACTTAGAATCCTCCAGTGAAACACTAAAAACCCAAGCTTTATCTATCAAATGAACAACCAACAAATCAAGTCTTCAAAACCCTAAAGGTCTACATAAAGAGACAAACCCAATTCCCCCTAAGGAGTAATTAGAGAAGAGTAAATCTCACGGCGAGGATAAGATTGGGCATGTTGCCGTCGCGAGCGATGACTTGAAGCCTTGAGACCGCATCTTCGTTTCCGACGATATCAACCACTTTGCTCGGTCTGTATTTCTCCACCCACGGGATCTCGTAACCGCCGCCAGAAGAGTTTGAAGACGAAGACGCCATTATTATTCCGAAGAGAGAGAGAGAATCTCTGACCGATGAGATTTAGGGATTTTCTGGTTTGGAGGGAAAATTGCTTTACTTTTAGGGGGACGATAAATTTGCATTTAAGGGCCTATAAAAAGAGAAGATCACGAATTCTGGACCATATTATATTAATTATCAGAAATGTCCCCTTTTATTTGTTTTTTTTCATTAAACGACTCGTAAAATAGAAGAATACGAAATCTGGACCAAAAAGTATTGGTATTTCATTTATACATCCATTTATAAAACCTCGATATTTACATACACACCCCGCATTTTTGGTTGGCTGTCGTTTAAGAAGACATAACATATTAAATTATTATTTTGATTTTTTTATAATTTCAATTCAGACATAATAAATCACGTGTTTCCCCATTTATGCGTTTCATCTTCTTTCTCTCTCGAATCGAAACCCTAAGCTACTCCGGTTTTGTCTCTGAGATTGTAATTTCTCCATCTTTTCTTTTATTTTTCCCCATCATTATAACGTAATTCTCCACCAGTTTCATCTAACCAAGATCAATTTTCCCCCAAAATAACAAAATGCCAACAGACAACGATGCGAGACCTCTGCTTTTAACCGGAGGAGGAAGGAGTTCGACGAGGAGACAAGGGCTGAGAGAAGCGGCGAGGTTACTAAGACATGCAAGCAGCGGGAGGAGGATGACGACGATGATCAGAGAGCCGTCGATGCTGGTTCGTGAATCAGCGGCTGAGCAGCTCGAGGAGAGGCAAAGCGATTGGGCTTACTCGAAGCCCGTTGTGGTTCTTGATTTCGTCTGGAACCTCGCTTTCGTGGCCGTTGCTACGGCTGTTCTCGTGCTTAGCGGCGCTGAGAAGCCCAATACGCCCCTTAGGGTTTGGATTGTTGGGTATGGGTTGCAATGTGTGATGCATATGGTCTGTGTTTGCGTTGAGTATCGTAGGAGGAGTACGAGGAGGAGAAGTAGTAGGAGTTCAAGCTCTTCTTCTTCTATGGAGGATCATTACTTGTTGGGCCTAGGACAATTAGATACTGAACGCAAAAGGTATCTTCTTCATAGGCTTCGCAGTTAATAGTAACAAAAAGACTCTAATATCTGTATATTTACCCCGCAGTTAATAGTAACAAAAATCTCTAATATCTATGTATCTATATATTTTTGTTAGTTCGCAGTTAATAGTAACAAAAATCTCTATATATATATGTATCCCATGTTGCCATGATAATGTGATAGTGTGATGTGAGAGTTTGGCTAAAGTAGTGTGTGTTTTTGTGACCATGTGTAAAGCAGTTTTACTAAGCATTTGGAGTCTGCAAATACTATGTTCTCGTTTATATGGTGGATCATTGGATTCTACTGGGTATCTTCTGGTGGCCAAGAGTTAGCACAAGGGTCCCCTCAGCTTTACTGGTTAGTAGTTGTTTCCTTCTTCTCTTATATGACTCGGATTGTTTCTTGTTTCTCAGGGTTTTGATTTGGTTGGTTTGGTGTAGGTTGTGTATAGTCTTTCTTGGTTTCGATGTGTTCTTTGTGGTTTTCTGCGTTGCACTGGCTTGTCTTATCGGCATTGCTGTTTGCTGCTGTTTGCCTTGCATCATTGCGGTTCTTTATGCAGTGGCAGAACAGGTAACTTATTATAAACTGTTTTTGTCATTTGTAACTCCAAGGAAAATTGCATTATTCTGCAATGAATATCTCAGTTGAAAATGCAGGAAGGAGCTTCTAAAGAAGACATTGACCAACTTACTAAGTTCAAATTCCGAAAGGTTGGTGAGTCTGAGAAACATTCTGTTGATGAAGTACAACCACAAGGAGATTCAGGCGGAGTTATGACTGAATGTGGTACTGATTCACCCCTCCAACACACTCTTCCTCATGAGGATGCAGTAAGTAACACAAAAGTTCACTTCTTTATTAATAACTTTTATACTCTGCATATTATGATGTGTTATGGATTTTGACAAATGAGTCTGTTTTTTTGAATCTGTAGGAATGCTGCATTTGTCTTTCGGCTTATGAAAACGAAACAGAGCTAAGGGAACTTCCTTGTGGCCACCATTTCCATTGTAGCTGTGTGGACAAATGGCTGTACATAAACGCTACTTGTCCTCTCTGCAAATACAACATCCTCAAGGATAGCAACTATGAAGATGGCGAGGAAGTCTAGTACAGAAGAAGATACAAACTTGCAAATATGCGGATACATGTATCATTAGCAGCGAGGAACCCAGGAAAAGTAAAAAGAAAAAGGTTCAACAATTGATCAAGTTGTAGTTTTATATTTGCTTGTTGTGATTTATGTAATACACAGTTTAGTTTAATCTTGTTGAATAATGTTAAACATCTTTTGGTTCTTACTTGCTGTACAAGACAACATGTTGTTTCATGATTAGTTGATAACTTGATTTAGTTACAGCTTAACGTAAATTCTTATTAACTGGAAGAAGATTGGTTCGATACAATTATTAGTCTTAAAAGAGAAATGAACAAGGTCAAGGCTTTTCCTGGAAACCCCATGGATTCTTGTTTGCCCAGTTCCATTGATCTCTGCACATCTCATCCACTCCATACTGTGCCCTAATAAACAAAACAAAATCAGTCCCTTATTCACATGATATCTCAACACATAAAGGATGAATCCCTTGTTCAAGTTATGGTTCTTGAAGTTCATCTAAAAATCAACTGCATATCTCGTTGAGCATGAGGACTGCATTGAATGAACATATTCTCTTTCTTGATTCATACACAAAAATCAAAAGAATAAGTCCCTTATTCAACAGCAAGTATACTTCTCTGTATAGATATCCATGAGCATAGACTGAACATATATTCTTTTTTGATTCACAAGCAAGATTGTATGGTTTATATGCGGAAATGATAAAACCAGTAACTTACTTCCAGTTGAGTTCTTTCTCAGCTCTCTCAGTTGAAGCATAAACAGCTGTTGCATCTCCAGCTCTTCTTGGACATAGCTTCATTGGGATTTTCTGCAGAACAAATCTTTATTTGAGCATTTTTCCACCACTAGCAAATCTTCATTCACATAAAATCCATTACCCTAACTGGGGAAATAAGAAAAGGATTGAAATTTCACCTTGCCAGAAGCTTTTTCAAAAGCAGAGACCATTTCCAAGACTGAAGTTCCCTGACCAGTCCCAAGATTATAAGCAGTACAACCTAAGATTAAGATGAAAAATTCTCAAAATCATAATCCAGCAAACCAAACCCTTCAAACAGTTAAATGTTTTAAAGACAATTTACCAATCTTTGGATTATTAAATAGCTTGTTCAATGCAGCCACATGTCCATCTGCTAAATCCATTACATGGATGTAGTCTCTGACCTGAAAGTAATGTATGTTAGTTTATCAATCTATCACCAGAGAATATAAACCAAAGAAACAGTCATTTATAGATGTCATACCGCGCTACCATCCTTTGTAGGATAGTCATGTCCAAACACATTGAGTTCAGGTAATCTTCCAACCGCAACTTGCTGGATATAAGGCATGAGATTGTTTGGTATGCCCTTTGGATCTTCTCCAATCCTCCCGCTCTCATGAGCTCCAACAGGATTGAAATACCTCAAAAGAATTATCCTCCACTCTGGTTCTGCCGCATGAATGTCTCTAGCTATCTCTTCAAGATACAACTGCACAAATAAAAAATTGACATGACTTAAACAACCTTTAAGTCACAAATGAGATAAAAACAAAACAGATTCGAGATCAGGAGCTCAAGTGCATAATACCTTGGTGCGACCGTAAGGATTCATAGCCTGTAACTCAAAGTCTTCCACACAAGGGACTACTTCTGGTTGGCCATACACTGTTGCAGACGAGGAAAACACCATCTGCATATCACAAACAATTTGTAAGCCTATCAGTGTGAATCATTCTAACCATTTAACTGAAAAGATGAAAGTTTCTATAATCTAACCGTTTTGCAGTTGTACTTTGCCATTGTCTCATAGAGATTGATAGTTCCAACTAAGTTGTTGTCAAAGTAACGACGAGGGTTTCCAACACTTTCACCCACAGCTTTAAGACCAGCAAAGTGAATCACAGCATCAAATCTGTTTTACCACACACAGAACAATCAGAATTTCATTTCACCTGAACAATAATAAAATGTTCATAAATTTGAGTCTCAACATTACCTCTGATTAGAAAAGAGTTTCTCAATATCGCCTTTGTTTCTCAAATCACCCTGCAATGAATCAAGACACGTTTCAATTAATAAACTAAGCATCTACGGATAACAGAGCAAAATCTTCAACTTTTCTTGGAGATCAAGCAAACAGAAAAATGCAAAATCTCAGTTCCTAAAAGAGCCAAAAGTTACATAAAAATTTACTGACCAGATTGAACTCAAGCTTGGTAGAGAGATCAGGACCAACAAGCTCACGAACCCTATGAACAGCTTCAAGGACAGAGTTATCAAGATTGTCGATGATGGAAACCTTGAAGCCCTGATTCAGAAGCTGAACAACAGTGTGCGTCCCAATGAACCCAGCACCACCTGTCACCAAAATGCACTGCTCCGCAGAAGAACCCATCGTTCTAAACGTAAACCACTTGGCAAATTCGATACTTTTGAGCAAATCAAGAGAGCAAGAAAGAGTCTTTTATTGCTTTCTTGTGAGTAGATAAGAACGTAGCCGTGAACGAAATAAAGGGAGAGGTTGAGATGGAGGAATCTCTTTTTTTGACGTTGGAGGTAAACTCGTGAAGGTTTGTTATTATATAAGTGTGATGAGGAATATGATACACTTTACACCTATTTCTTGACCAGAAAAAGATTTTGTTTGAACAAAAAAAGGGATATTCATTTGCCTGTTCTTAACCTATTTTGGGATTAATGGATAACGAGTGAAGACTAAATCCACGAGGATTGGAGTGGCAGAAGGGTACTTTAAGCTTTTTCGATTTTGTTTTCTGTTTTTAGATGATAATTCAAAATTTTTTAGATAATTAAGCATTTAGATTGGTTATTATTGGGTTGTCCATGCACCTGCTGACAAAGTTTAGAATTGTCAACAGCTATGTGTCATGATATTTTTTTTACTGGAGGATTGGAGGGGTAAACGGGTAGTGGTTTTGGGATTTTGTTTTCTTTCTACTTTTTGATAATTAAGGATTTTTTAGATAAAAGATTATGGTTTAAACAAAATTATATGGGTTGTCCTTGCACTTGCTGCTTAGAAAGATAATTATCAACAGCTATGGGGTTGATTGGTAGAGCATTATCATAAGCATTATGCTCTCTATTATCCAATCAACATTTGGCAAAGAAGCATTTAGAAAAGCATTTACCAAATGCAAATGCTCTCCAAATGCTCTTTGCTCAATGCTCTCATATAGAGCTTTTGGGAGAGCATTTGCATATAGAAAATATAAAACTTAATAATATTTATATATAATTAATTTATTTTAGTTTAAAAATATAAACAATATTTTTATAATTAAATATAAATTTATATTTTAAAAAAAAAAAAATAAAAATTATAATTTTTTTTAAAAAAGAACAATATTTCACATTTAAAATATAATATAATTTATATAATTACATATATCATTCATTATTTTTACTAACAAAAATAACATAATATAATTTATATATTATTGATATAAACATATTATTTAGACACTAATAAATAAATTATATATTAACTTTTATGATAATTTTATATATCAGTAATTTAGTGCTCTACCAATAAATAAATAATAATAATTTATATAAAAATTATAATTAAGTTATATATAAAATATAATTAATTAATCTATATATTTAATAATAATTATAATTTAATAATAATTAATTAAATTATAACTATAATTTATATATGAGTAATATGTTATATCCAAAAATAATTTAATATTTTAAAAAAAACTTTAAATTTTTAAATATAATTATATAATGAAATTCATTGTTTTTAATAAAATTATATATTATTAATATATTATATATATATATATTATTTTAAAAGTATTATATTATTTTACTAACTATTATGACAATTTTAAAATCATATACTGCTAATGCTCTGCCAATCATTTTATTAAAAACTTTATTGAAAGCATACAGCTTCTGCAGCATACTGCTACTGCTTTATCATTTGCTATACCAATCGAGGCCTATGTCTCAAAATAACAAAATTTTGTAAACCCTTAATAAAAAAATGAAAAAATGAAATACTTTTGGTTAATTTAGTAATATATATCAAATATGTTCATGTGTTTCTCTGTTTAATTTTCATAAAATATAAACTAAGATAAAATGGAATGGAAAGAGACCTAAATATGTTTTAACTAATTTTTTTTTCTTGTATCAAACGGCTATTCTATTATTTAAACTTGAGGTGACCTGGTAACCACAACCAACAAAACAAATGTTTTAACTAATTCAAATCATGATTAATAGAAAATTTAATATATTTAGTATATGCAAACTTGAATTGATATTTCTACAGAATACCAATTCATATTGTTGCCTACAAATAGCAAATCTATATTGTATATTGAGTTGAAATTTCTATGATAGCAAATAATAGAGAATAAGATACATTTACAAATCCATATTTTTGCTACTCCTCGTAGCAGCAACTAAAAGCTTCTAAAGAGAACAAAACCAATAAGACCCTTGTAGATAGATATTCCAGTTACCCTTGTTTCTTGAAACCTATCTCGACATCTGTCTTGGCAATCCCAAAGTATTCCACTGTCAGAACAACTCCAAAATCTCAAGAAACAGCCACAAATATATAAAGATGGATGCTAAAACAAGTTGACAAACCTCCAGCATTGGGTTTGGGCCTGCAGAAGACGTATTCAGTGAAGGTATCATTGAGGTAGCGTACCCTTGCTTGGAAGGGTTTGATCTGGCCATCATAAGGATCAATAACTTCAAAGGTTATGAGAAACATAAGCCCCGCAGAGAAGTGAAAATTGGATTTAACAACCCTAACAAACTCGAATTCTCTCTTCTGTTTTGAAGAAAAAAAAAACATATTTATAAGCAAAGTGTTTAAACAATAAGCACATCGATATCCTGTTTAAATAACAAAAAACATTCGTAAACATTTTTATACAAAAAAATAACGAAATTGAAAGTATTTTACCACGTTTACGTTGTAGTCGTCAAGAGATTTCTGAGAGAGCCTGTTAAGAAAATCCTCAGTGGTTTCGGGCTCGTCTCCGAATTCACCAAATTCATCATCATCGAGATAAGCACGATGGTAGTTGAAAACGCAGCGGTAGTAATCGAAATCGATATCAAAACCCTATTATCATTAAACAAACAATCAGCTGATTTAACAAATACATATAACCAAAACCATGAGATTGAGAAAAACACACATACATCGCTCTGGTTGACTTCTTCGCGCATCCTGTCAAGTTCTTCCTGTGCTGTAAACTTAGCCTTTTCAGGATCGTAAACAGGTCTCTCATAGTCAGGATCCTCAGGTTTCCATAGCAAAAACGCAGGTTCCACCCACTTACTCCACCCTAACACATTGTAATGTATAAACTTGAATCCGGCGATAGTAAGTTATGAACAAGAGAGTAACAAAATTCGAATTGTACCTTCAAATTCACCCATCACGTCGTCACGAATCGAATATATTGCCTTTGTTTCGTTGATCAAGAGCCCTAACTTTTTTCTTTTTAGATGCGACTTTTTAAATTAATTCCTCCCTCACTTGTATTTCTCTATTTACTTTATTCCAGTCCCTTTAGGTTTCATGCTTTAATTCCTTTTCTAGCCTCGCAATTTTGTTTTCATAAACTATCCACCATCGAGTTAATAATACAATAAATTGACAAAGCATTAACATAATCAATATACAGTAAAAAATTTAGAAATTAAAATTGTTGAAACTATGGTATTTTATTAATTTATGAAGTTAATTTATAAAAAAAAATCCTTATTTAGATTAATTTTCTATTTCAAGACATATTTAGTGTATATACATTAAGTTTTTTTTTTTTAAAAAAAATTGACATTGTATTGGTTCTGTTATAATATTTGGTTTATAAAAAATATATTATATAGAATTTCAATATAGTTTTAGATATAATTTTACTAAATCTCATCAAAATATATTAGGTGTTATGAAAATATAAAGACAATTTTATTGTCAATATAAATAAACAATATAATAATAAGTTGGTAGTCATATAAAATATTCATACATATAAATTATTATTTTATAATTTAAATGGAATCATATATTTACAAAATATTTTCTAGAAATTTATTATCTTGTTATTTTATTGATTTGTGTCATATTTCTAACCGACTTAACTTGGGACCGAGGAAATTTTATTAAATTATAATGTTTATTAATTTATCAAGTATTAATTTCTAAATTTTCTACTCTACTCTTTATTATCCTAATCAACAACTTTTAGAGTAGCTTTTAGATGATGCAAATGATTTACAAATTCTCTTTGCCCTAATGATTTCATATGAAACTTTTAGTAGAGTACTTACATTTTGAATAGATAAAAACTCAAAAATAATTCAATAAAATTAATTTAATTTATCTTATAATATCAAACTAAATTTATATTTTTCTAAAGTTAAAAAATAATGGAAAATGTTTCACATTAAAATATATATATAGTCAATGTAAATATATATTATAAATTTAATATATCTATTTTAAATAGAAATAAACAAATTATATATCATATACTAATTTAATATGATAATTTTGTATGTGAATCACTTACTACTCTACCAATCAATTTATTTGTATATATTTATCAGAACATACTGCTTTAGTAGCATAATACTTCTATAGTATACTGTTAGTGTTTTATCATTAGTTTTACCAATAAGCGAATTGATATTTTTTAGCATGCATAAACGAATTGATTGTAGAAATATATAGGATTTTACGTAATCGAAAACTGGATAACTCCTTTTCATTAACCCCTGAAGACACACATCTACTCTATTTTTAATCTACTTAAAAGTTGTTATTTAAGTTTTGGACTTATTTATTTTTCATTAAAAATAAATATCTTCAAAGATTTTTTTATATTACACTTTTGGATATATTTAAAACATATATCAGTAAAGATAAATTCCTTTAATGATTTCACTTAATAATCAAATACAATGATAGAAAAATTTATATGGGCAATTCTCCATAATAGGCTCTTTTGAGTTTTTATCTCAAAACTAGCACATGACGCTGAAAGTCCCAAAACTAGCACTCACTAATAGATTAAAAGACTACACCACCCTCAAACATGTTAATAGAAAAAAAGAAGTTATCATTCTCGAAGAACTCAACAACGACGACGAATTATCAGACATCGATCATGACGTCGTCTCCGTCGAAGACGCAAGAGACAGTATCACAGAGAAACTCCACTGCATCACTCTTAGCAATCAAAAATCGAAACCGATAGATGTAAGTTTAGATGTTTCAAATTGAAATTAAGAATTTCGGTTGAAAAATGAAATTAGGGATTTTGGTTGAAAAATTGGAATTTTTGTTAAGGAAAATCAAATTTGGTACAAACGACATCCATCTCAGTGTATGCAAGCAGCTAGCTCCTGAGGTAAATATTGCTTTTCAAACACTTTAACATACGATTCGCATGTGTATAGTTCAAGTAGTTGTGGCAAAATTTGGTGATGATGTTTTTGTTTAACAGTATGAGAAGGCTGTGGCGGAGCTAAGCAGACACGTCCTTCCCGTGGTTCCTGAAAAAATTGATGCAAGTGAAGAAACAAACAAAGAGTATGCAACACAGTTCGAAGTTCAGGGATTCCCAATTATCAAGATTTTCAGAAACGGATGCAAAGCTGTTCAGGACAACGGACCTCGTGAAGCTGATGGTATTGTTACTTACTTGAAGAAACAAAGCGGGCTTACTTCTTTTGAGATCAATTCAGTCATGATGATGTAGAGGTTGTTGGTGATAAGAAGGTTGTTGTGGTGTCTCACAACAGCTATGTTCCTATGATTTGATCATCTGTGTATGGTAGTATTCAAGTAACGTCTCTTTTTCTTATTTTAGGTTAAAGTTTTCCCTAATTTATCTCGATCTGAGTTTGTATCGTTCTTGGCTACTGCTGAGAAACTGCGCTCGGACTATGATTTTGCACACACCTCTGATGCCAAGCTTCTTCCTTGTGGAGAATCAAGCATTCCGCTTTTCACCGTCTTTGACAAGAATTCAAATAACCATCCTTATGTTATCAAGTTCTTTGACATCCCTAATACTAAGGTAACTCATAGATCTTAACCCCATCATGATGTAACCAGTTCTTGATATTACTAGAAAGATAGATAGATTCATGTTATGCCTTTACTTTTGGTCGATAAGTATTTAAGTTGTTTACTTTTAGTGGTTTTGGTCATGTGTTTTAGTGGGATTGCAAAAGGTTTAGCGTTTCTCTATGAGGAATCTTTGTTGAAATTTGTACAAAGAGATATCAAAGCTACTACTAATTTAATTTCAGGATAGCTTTCCATAATTTTTTTTTTTAAATTCAGGAAGGTGTTTCAATGTTTCATGAAAGCTTTCCAAAAAATCCGATGCTAAAATATCTGATTTTTTTTGCTTGGTTACACAGAACAGCAATACGATGGGAGAATTTGTAAAACATGTAAGTAGGTACTCCAGTGTTGCTGAGTGTGAATTTGCTTTTGACATTGTTAGTTGCTTTCTTTTGCTTGTGAAACTGCGTGGCTTTATTAATTTCAGTATGGATTTGTGTAGTTTCAGGAAAGCTTTCCAGAAAATCTGATGCTAAAATATCTGATTTTTTTTTGGCTTGGTTACAGAGGACATCAACACGATGGGATAATTTGTAAAACGAGTAATTAGGTAGTCCCAGTGATTTCTGAGAGTGAAATTTCTTTTGACATTGTTAGTTTCTTTCTTGTGCTTGTGCTTGTGAAACTGGACCGCTTTGGTAATTTCAGTGAGGATTTGTGTAGTTTCAGGAAAGCTTTTCAGAAAACTGATATTAACAAATTTGAAAAACTTTTTGTTTTGTTTACTAAGCATATTGATATCTTTGGTAAGCTCATGAATTTGTTTTTACATTTCTAGACGATTGCTTGTGCTTGTGAAACTGTGTGGCTTTGTTAATTTCATGAAAGATTTGTGTAGTTTTAGGAAAGTTTTCCAGAAAACTGAGGTTAATAAATTTGAAAAAAAAAAAATTTGCTTGGTTACTTGTTTGTCTTAAGCATATTGATATTTTGGTAGGATTTCAGAAATTTCTGGACAATTGCTTGTGCCTCTGAAATTATGTTTGTATAGTTTCAGAAAAGCTTTCCAGAAAATTTGGAGTTAAATTTTGAAATATTCTTACGTGGTAACGCAGGGTAGTAAAACGATGAGAGTTTTATTACCTCTCAGACTAACACTGCCTGAGCTGAAGTATCAGATTGGTTCAGAGCCAAGACAAAACAGTTGGAGATTTATGTTGATTATTGAAAATTTTCAGATTTCTAAACAAGAAAGCATTGTACATATTATGGATGAATTTATAGACATTGGAAAGCATTTGGTATTTTTAGATGAGCTTCCATAAATCATATCTTAGTGTGTTTCTATCTAGTAACGTTTAAACTAAAAAAATGAAATGAGATCAAAAACTAAAGATTTGATATATGTGTGTTTAGTAAGTTTCAAATTGTAATGTAGAATTCTGAGAAATGTTTTTTGAAAAGCATTGAATGTTCAGGTTGGACTTCCAAAAACACATTTTCATTTCATTAAAAAACACATAGTCTGATCCCAAGGGGAATCGAACATGGGTTCCGTGTCAGTTTAAAGTCTTGTACGAGTAGTGGTTTAGCCGCTAAGCTGAAGAGAATCATTTGTTTGTATTAAACACATAAATGTATCTAAACTGATATTATATTTTTTAAAATTACGAAAGCATTGAACATGTTTAGGATGCTTCCGAAACACAATTTTATTCAATTAAAAAAAAAACATAAAAAGACGGGTTTAGCCGTGTCAGTTTAAATTTTTGTAAGAGTAGTGGTTTGGTCGCTAGGCTGAGGAGAGTCATTTGTTTGAATTGTACAAATAAATGTATGGAATTATATATTAGAAAATTCGGAAAGCATTAAACGTGTTCAGAATGGTCTTCCAAAAGAAACTGTAAATGTGGTATGGTGCATATCACGTAATCATCGAATAAACAACACCTAGAAATTGGTCATATAAACATGTAAATCATCAACAAACCATTGAAATGAAAAAGAATAGAAAGTGTTTGTAGAATTTAAATGTCATTTTAGAAAAAAAATCTTCATAAGACAATTGAAAAATAGAATAGAGTTCTCCAGGTTTTTTGTTTTCTTATCACAAATGCATAGACGTATAAAGTTCATCATATATTAATCTTGCATGTATTCTTGTTATCAAGTTTCCAAAACAAAGTATGTATTTATTCAAGCACAACACATATTCAGGATAGATTCTAACATAGTGTGGAAGGCTTTCCATAACACTTTACCAAATATTAGACGAATCTGAATTACTTACAAGATTTGTTCTACAATGTCTACACCTAGATATTGTTCATATATATATATATATATATATACACTAGGGTAAACCCGCCCTACGGGCGGGAGATTAAATAAGCTAATAAAAAAAATTATTTTAACAAATATAATTTATTTTTAATTAAAAGTAGTATCAACATGCTTAATTATTTTACAACAATTTTAAGTATTTATTTTAATATTTATTTTAGAAATTATATACTTTTCTAACAATAGTAATATATTTTAAAATGTAACTATTTACTTTTGCTAATGTTTATTTTAGTTTAACTATATTAAGAAGTCGCAAAACATTTACTTTATTTTCTCTCAGGAGATATAAATTAGGTTTTCCAAGTAACCTATTTGAGCTTTTGTTTAATGTTTTTTCTTGGTCAAATGTAATTAAAAATTAGTATTTGGAGTCCTCTATATAGTCAATTTACAAAGAATCAAATGAAACCAATATATCCAAATTTAGACTGCTTACATGTTGCAAGGAGAGAAATTATTTAGTCAGGTGTCATTGCGCAAGATTTTCATAAATTTTTCGTAGTATTGTCTATCACTGCTATTCTTTAAAGTTATGTTCTTTTTCTTAAATTTTTTATTTCCAAAAAGTTCATTATTTTTAACATTTTTTAGTTTAAGATATTTTGTTATATTTGTTATATTATGGGTGTCTTAACTATTTTTATACTTTTCGTCAAACTTGTTTATTGTCAAAAATATTTTTTTTAAACCTTATCTAGTGCGAAAAGCTTAGTTATACTATATATATTTATCTTTATTTTTGTATTCATCTGGTCATTTTTTACAATGATTAGAATGGAACTAACATGTATATAGTATTACCGTGTTAATTCCAATTAATTGATATGTATCTTCATTGTTTTCTTTTCATGTAGTTGTAGTACTATAAAATTTTAACAAAGGGTCGATGAGAAAAATGAACAAATAGAAACACATCTTTAATTTGATTAAGAATTTTAAAATGTTGACTTGAAAATGATATCAACTTTTACTAATTTTATTAGTGATCTTATAAATATTCATATTTTTCCTTTAATACTTTCATGTATATGCAATTTTCTACATTTACAATGTAGTTAAAATAAAATATCTTAGAACATAAATTATGGATATATTTAGACTTTATACCATTTACAAAAAAGCCATCTATACTTTTTAATATAAATTTTATAGATTTAGACATTCATATATTTTGTTACGTGAACCGTAGTTTATATTAATCAGTAATTTTTTTCTTTGTTTTAGAATCTCTAAAAGGCAACAACGATCTAAAATCTTTAATAATCCATTTAACTTATTTTTGTATGTAAGGCTTTACATCTATTATACCTTGCCTGGTCTATAATTTGTTTTAATCGACAAAGAACAAACTTTTATATTCTTGCTTTAACTGTGATATACAAAAAAAAAAATTTAGTTATAAGTTGAAACACACTGATAGTTACAGAGCTATATTTTACATGTGCTTAAGCCAAAAATATTATTTTTGACAAACCCTGCAATGTATGTAAAGGCTTGTATCATTGCATAGTCTTCTTTCGAGAGAGCACATATATAAAACGGAATGTAAATTTTGGTGTGAGAAGAAGTCAACTTAGTTAGTCTTGTTCACTACGTTAACTACTGGAATGCAAATTTTGGATGTGTTGGTTCAGTGAGCAACAACTGATTTTGCTTTCCAGAGCAATAGTGTATTAAGCTTTCAGTAAATTTGACCTCAAACCCATTGTGAATCAGTCTAAAACCAATTTTGCATTGTCCAAACCGTTTGGCTCCTGATGTTTTAAGCACATTGAATAGAGAGCTTATGAGCTTTTACAAAAATCTTTGATGAGTTATTCAGCTGTTCTGTAACAGCTTTTTGAGTTATTCACCTACTCTTCTTCTGCAGTGCATGACAAATAAGAGCCACTCTCTCTTCCCTTTATATATTCTCTGTCTCCACCCTTTTTGCCACCTTTTTAACTCTCTCGTCTTTGTTCTCCTGCATACTTCTATGCCTATCCGTCTCGATGTCTATAGCATAAAACACAATGGTCTTCTTCTGAAACTACCATCCTAATATGTTCTCATCATCAAAGAAAAATCAAATTAAGACCCTAAGTGGTAAAAGCATCAAGAGAACAATTGTTAACATGAAAAGCGTAAACAGTACCAATATCAATGCCAGAAATTGTTGCGACTATCCCTGCTTAGCCATCACCAAAAGATCCACCTGAATCGGAGGAGCAGCACCTCGACAGTGGAGGAGCAACGGCTGGAATTCAGGTCTGAAAGAAAAACTCTAGCTAAAGACATTACTAAGAGATGAAATTGGGTGAGAGAGGCTTGTGAACGAACCTATATATACACGTTCTTAGACCGCCTCGCAGAAGATAAGAGGTTAGTGAATTGAGATCGTGTGAGAGTAGTAAATGCTACTATTCAATGCGTGATGGAGATTTATCCCAACCGAGAAAGATGAATCGCCAAACAGAAAGGATTCGAAGCAAGATTGATGGCGGCTACGGTGAAGTTTGACGAAGGACCCTAATTGGAGAGGAAGAAAGACTGCAGACGTCAATACACAGAAGAAGGGCCATGAACAGATAACACTTTGGGCCATAAATAATTCAAGCCCATAACCAAAGCAGCTTTCCCGAGTGAACAAATAAACGGAACGCCTCGTTTTACCGGATTGGACATGTGTCACCTTACGGGTGAGCGATTTTCTGACGTGGCATAGGCAAGAGGGAGGCAAACATTACTTTATATATATAGATAATCATCGATAAACCATTAAAATAGAGAATTAAAACATGTTTATAATATTTAGATGACACATTGGAAAAAGCTTCATAAGCTTCGTAAAATAGTTATTCATCTTTATATCATCAGCTCCTTTTATGGTTGTTTTTTTTTGTGTGTGAAAGTCATACATGGACATGACTACAATTTAGAATAACATTCAAAGGAAAAAACTGCAAAACCACCTTTATTATAAAGACTCTACAAAATTTGAGTTATTTTGAAAGGATAAGTACATATTTAAGAAAGTTATCATGAAACACCAAATAAGTCAAACTTGAGAGTTTCTCAGGGAAGCCTTGTCCATGAATGTCTCGAACTTCCACAGTTAATAAGCTACTGATACATGTTTGCTCAAAATCTTCCCTGTTACAAAAGAAGGTAAAAGTAAGTACCAAACAAGAAGTACTTCACAAATAATATAAGCTTCTTATACTTTCCATAAACAGCTTAGTGCTCCTGGAAATAAAAAAAAATACACATGACCAGTTAGAGCCACAGCTCTAGAAAGTCAAGAAGAAAGTGAATCACTTCATGTGCTTGACTCAAGAACGATACACCAAGACACAACTTCTAGACATATCACCATAAAACTAATATCTGCTTTTTAAAGAATTTACGTCATGTACCTTAACACTATCGCCAGTGGAAATCATGTTATAAGCATATCAGAGATCCAATCAGTTTTCAAATCCAATCAATTGGTGCTTGTTTCTCTAAAATTAATAAGATTCAATTTATAGTCCTGCAAGTAAACGAATCACCAGAAAAGAGCAATACAAACACACTAAGCAACACAAAAACATCACCACACACTTCATTATCTATGTAGCGAATTGAGCAAGAGTATCAAATGAACCCTTTCTGATGTTTTTCTCTTAATGTTTGTATAATCAAACAGAAAATGAATCTATAATTCTGCAAGCAAACACACAAACCTAGACATAAACAACCCATATACTTCATTTTCAAAGAATCTAATGAAACAAAATCAACAGAATAAGCAATAGAGAGTTATCACCAATAAGCGATTTAACCGATACGTAGAATTGAGCTCGTTCTCCAGCCTTCCTTTCTTATGTTCAGCACGATGATCGACACTTTTATACCAAGCCGAATCCATCTTATACTTAACCAGATCTCTGAAAAATTGTGTGTTTTCTCCCTTTTTGATCGCATTGTGAGCCATCCTCAAGGCTTCAGGCTGCAACGTCTGGTTTCCTCCGAAATGACTTGCGATGAAGAGTAGGTGATCTTCGTTTGTCCTTTGTAAAGCATCGAATGTTATAATAGGCCTCAGATTAGATGTTCTTCGCATCCTCTGTTAGTGCACATCTTCATCATCGATTCCCTTGCTTCTTCGTCGCACTCCATAAATTCGTCGAGATGCTCAAAAGTTGACAATGGAACTGATGACGACGGAGATGAGACAGATCGCCGGAGATGATAACGGCAGAGATGAGAGATCGCCGAAGATGACAACGGCGTAGAGCATTACGCTGAAAGAGACGGCAGCCTGTAGCTAATCGATTCAACAATTATTTTTTTACTTTTTGTATGTAATAAGGGTAACATGGACATTGATCCCTTTTAATGAAATATATTTTTGTGACTTTGAGTCTTGAGTGCTAGTTTGGGAACAAAAACTTGGTTTAGTGCTATCCTAGATTTTTTTCTTTATATTTTTTGTTAACATTATAATTTATATTTACAAACCTATTACATATGAGAGCCGGCCTTGGGTCCAAGCAAAAGAAGCATGGGCTTCCGACCAAAATAAATATCAAAATAATCGGCCACATTTTTTCAAAGGGTGTCTTTAGTGTAGTGGATAAACAACTTATGTCCCCTGAGCCTGAACAATGATTTGAATCATATCACCAACATTTCGGGCATTTATTTATTTTTGGTTTCTAGCCTGAAGAATCCTAGGACCAGCACTGCTACATATATATGTGATATTGTGGATCATAGGCTAAATATGCATGAACTATAAACTTTAGGTAATTATAAATATACTGTTATTATAATATACTAGATATGTTTCAGTTCCGATTGATTTCTCTATATCTGGTCTAGAGGTGTGAAGTGATTCGTCTATGTGTCCTTTCGAAATGTAGCAAGATAGCTTTAGGTCGTATGGATTTTAATATTTGTTACTAGATTTTGATCCGCGCTTTTCAAACGTGGATATTTTTTATGATGAAAAAATTATATAATTGGGTTTTGTCTTAATTCAAAGAATGTTTTGGTATAAAATCAGTTCACCAAAATTTGTGGTGATCATTGTTCATTAATTTTTAGTTTCAGTTTTTATTTTTAGATTTTGGTTTTTGGTTTTTAGTTTTTAAGTTTCTATTTTTGATTTTCAGCTTTTCATTTGGGTTTTTGATTTTTTGATCCGCTGAGTTAGTTTAAATTGATATTACCAACAAATAAATCTCAAATAATAAAAAGTTTAATTTAAAATATGAAAAGATGACAAAAATGTTTTTAAAAAATTGTAATAGTTTATTTGTAAATAAACAAAAGCAAAAAATATAACCTGCGTTTTAAGCTTTTTGGTTTTGGATTTTAGTTTTTAGATTTGGTTTTTGATTTTGCTTTACATTTACATTTACATTTTTTATCAGTAAATTATCTAAGAAAAATAAAACATTAAATTATTTAAAAGTTACCATTTAAATTTATCAAAACAAAGTGATTGTTATTTAAAATAAAAAAAAATACATTAACATGTTTTAAAGTGCATGATTTAAATAAATGATTAATAATAGACAATTTGTTTTGTTAAAAATATAAAATATCTTTGGGCCTGAAAATAATATTTGATTTTTTTATCCATTAGGGTAGAAAGTTTATTCAATGTTTTTTTGAATTTTTTCCTTAATACTAAGCCCAAAAACCAAACCATATAATTTGTTCTAAAAATCAAAATAAACTCAAAACTATATTCTATAAATAACCACCGGTTTAATTTAAGTAATGCAGTTCATTTAACTATATGGTTTGTATGATTTGTAACACTCTAGAAATGATCCAAATTTAAAAGACAACTTGTATTAGTAGATAAAAAGAAGGATTCTATTTTAGTAGAGTAGACTAGAGTTTGACCCGCACATCCGTGCGGGTATATTTTTCATTTTTATAAATATATAACTAAAATTTTTAAATATATGATTTATATTTTAGTTTTAGTTATAATTATATCTAATAACGAAATAAGGAAATACTTATTTTATAAAAAAATATTAAATTTTTTGGTAAGATCTTTTTAGTTTTTTCAACAGATTTTTTTATATTTAAATTTATTTATTATTAATATTCTTATTAATTATTAAGATATTTTGAAAATAATATATATTTGACTGGTTGATGTAGCAATTAAAGATGTAAAATTAAATAATTAATGACATGTTCCAACATAACTTCTAAATAGTAGATAAATTTGGTGTGATTTCCCGATTGATATCCCCTATATATTATGAGAATCATTTAAAAAGTTGTAACCTTAGGTTTGTAAGAATTTAAGGTTACAACTTTTTAAATGATTCTCAATTAATATATAGGGGATATCAATCGGGAAATCACACCAAATTTATCTACTATTTAGAAGTTATGTTGGAACATGTCATTAATTATTTAATTTTACATCTTTAATTGCTACATCAACCAGTTTGTAAGAATTACTTGACAAAAAAAAAAAAAAAGTTTGTAAGAATTAAAAATAACCTCAATCTTATGTGGCATAGTTCTTTGGCTTCTATTTCAAATCCCAAGGATTCTAGAGCATGTGATATAATGTATAGTCTAAAAATTATACTCCCTAGCAATTTAATATTTCGTAGGTTATAGTTGGTCGCATATATCAAATATTTATTGTTTCACATGCTTTCCTTAAATAAAACCTACGGAATTACCTAATGTGTTTAAAATATATAGGAAAATTAATGATTTTAAACAATAAAGATTTGATAACAATCTATATACTTTTTATCATTTTTATTTCTTTATTATTAAAATAAATTACACAGTTACATTAATCATATAATAAAAATCTAGATTTTTTTTTGTGTATGTTGTATTTCGAATTTTTCAAAATGAGTATAAATTACTAAAACTGTTGAAAGTCTTACATAAATTTTTAGGATCATGGTTTTAATTTTTTCTATATTAAAATATAATGATTACAAGACCATATGAAGAAATAATTTTAGTTTATATGTATTTCATATCGTTTTAATTAAACTATACATCGTATGCAAATACATACTTATATTTTGATATTTGCCTTGAACATATATTGAAAAAATTGAAGATAAATAGGATTGACACGTGAACATAAACTTCTCAGAACCATACTTAATTTTTAAATTGTTAAATCATGATATAAAACTGAGTTAATTTTTAATTTGTTAATTTTAAAATTCTTTAATTTTTAATTTGTTAATTTTAAAATTCTTTAATTTTTTAAATCATTATGGTTATGTTAAATCATGACCATAATTAATTTTAAATTGTTTATTTGTATTTGAAAAACTTAAAATATTGTTCTTAAAAATAATTTAAAATTTAACTTAATTTTATATAAAATTATTTTAAAAATCTTATTTGTAAAAAATATAATTTCTAATATTATTAGATAAATAAATAAATTATATTAAATTAGTTTTGAAACTTTACATATTTTATCAACTGCTTCTTAAAAAACATTAGGGAACTTGCTAATACTCTACCAATAAAGCTCAATGACACTATGTTTATTTTTCATCACTCGAACAATGAAAAATGAAAAGATATATGAAATCGGGTCCATTAAATTCTAAGATTTGATCTACTGTTCTAATTACAATTGTTTCTGATTCTACGTATTGATAATTATATAAAAATTCCAAAATTCTAAAATTTCAAATACATATAAAAACAATTATACATAAATTTTAAATTTATCAATACTAAAATTTTATATTAACTACATTTATTCACTATGCGTAAGGCGCATGTCTTATCCTAGTTAGTTTTTATTAAAAATGCAAAAAAAAAAAGAAAAAAAAAGAAGAAGTAAAATACACGCCTTACAGCTAGATCCCAAATTGCCAAAATAAAATTTCCATTTGTCGTGCAGAAAAACGATCTATAGAATTGAAAAAGACAGATTTATTAAAAATCCAACCAATCAGACAAAAGCCTCACACCTCTCTATTGGGATCTGAATCTCTTCACTTTCTCTGAGATTCTTTTGTAAGAAAAAGATCAGAAGAGAAGAAAGAAGCAAACAAAAAAATGTCGCATGGAACGCTTGAAGTCGTTCTTGTCAGTGCCAAAGGTCTCGAGGAATCTGATTTTCTGAGTAAGCTTTTTGTAAAATCATTTTCTTTCCTGATGTTGACGGGTTTTGTCTCGAACGTGTTCAATTTGCTAATGTATATGTTCACGTGTTTAAATGTTTCGACCTTTTCGGGATCGAAGATTGTGAAACGGTAGCCCCACTCTGTTATTCCAATGAATCAGATTTTTTTGGATCTGCTTTGTGAAACTTTGATAACAATTATATTCACCATTCCTATTAGAGATCTATACAAATCTTAATCTATACTCTAATTAATGGTTATGGACATGTAAATCTGCGTTTAAAAAAAAAAGATTTAAGATCAAAGATGGGTTGCATCTTCTTTGACAGATAACATGGATCCTTATGTGCTCCTCACTTGCCGGACTCAAGAGCAGAAGAGCAATGTTGCATCAGGTCAGTTCTCTCTCAACCAAGATCTTTTTTGTGTTTCAAGAATTAAAAATAAGTGACTCTTGTTTTGTCAGGACAAGGCACAACTCCGGAATGGAACGAGACATTTATCTTCAATGTCTCTGAAGGAACTACAGAGTTAAAAGCCAAAATCTTTGATACAGATGTTGGCACAGAAGATGATCCCCTTGGTGAAGCAACGTAAGATCTTCAAATAATCAAATTTCTAATATATTTGGATTTAATATCTAATGAAGGAGACAATGTAGAATTCCACTGGAGGCGGTTTTCTTGGAAGGAGATATCCCACCAGCTGCATACAATGTGGTGAAGGATGAAGAGTTCAAAGGGGAGATCTGGATTGCACTATCCTTCAAACCTTCGGTATAAACACTAACACAATATCTTGCATCGTTCTTGAATGATTCGTTTTTTTTTAAAATGGTGTTAAGCTTAGACGCTGAAGAACAATGTGTTTATTTGGTAGGAAAACCGAAGCAGGGGTTTTGAAGAGGAGTCTTATGGAGGCTGGAAAAACTCTGAAGCATCTTACTAAAGAGAAAGAAACATCAAATGTGTGTTACTCTTTAATTTGAGTCTTGGGAATAAAATGTTGAGCTTCCCTCTTGAAAAAGAGTTTTGTTAAGAGAGTTTCTTCTTATTTTTTATTATTATTGTTGTTGTGTTCAGTTTGAAATTCAAAACACTTGAGAGTTGGATTCTTTTGTCAAGAGTTTGTTTCATTCTTGTTTTGGTATTTAAGAAAATATTTTACAATTCTAGTTTTATGATCATAACTTCATAAGTTACACAGGTCCGGCCAGACGGAGGTGCTCTTCGGAGAATCGGTTCGTCTGACCACCACTTGATCTAGTTTAGATGGGTGGTTGACAAAAAAAAAAAAGTTACACAGTTATTAGGGACATACATATATACTAGTTCTTTCTTATATTAAGTGCTTGTGAAAGTCTCTTTTAGTTTCCTGCAACTGTATGTTGCATAGTAGCAACCATGGTGTTGAGGAGAACATTTGCAGATGAGGTAGCATTGAAATGTCAAAGGTAGTACAAAATGTAAAGGGATTTGGAAAGAAAACTGATCTCGTGGACACATTGGCAGTTTCTTCTTGGGTAGCTTGAGCTTTAAGAGACTCTCTTTATTGCCACTAACTCAAATCCTCATCTGCAGTAAAGAAACGATGTTTCTTCAGAGACGGTATACTTTCACTAAGCAATAAACTTCTCTGTATTATTATTAATACTCTTTATCCAATTACCTTCAAATAACATTGCGTTATTGCTGGGGACTCCAACTTGTGCATTCTTTCGGCTGTGACCGTGGCTACGATAAAACAAAGCATAAAATTTCCAACCATTACATGTAAGTGAAGACACACGAAGAAAACTGTTACATGTAGATGTTGATCATTCCTTACCTTTTATTATACTTTGAAAATGTCCATCCAAGAATTTTTTTTTTAATGTATAATTGAAAATAGCATGTTTGCTTTTATGTTTAGATCAACGTTTTTGATTATATTGGACATAAAATGGGTCAAATGCATGGGTGCGCCTGTCTGCATTTGTTGTGTGACTCCTAAATTCATGATTATCACTTTATTATTTACAAAAAAAATAAGATTGTTTTATATTTATCAAAGTCCACTTCCATTATACAGTTTGTTGAATAGAGAACTTATTTATTCTTCTGGCTGTTGTGTTCATATATACATGTTGACCGATCAATTTTTTTTGGGAAGAAATTTCAAAGTTAATTATTCCAAAAATATTTGAAGTTCAAAAGTGTAGTTTTCATTCGCAAATATCGTCTCCGTATGTTCACAGTAAACCATAAACAAGCTAACAATCTTACTTTGAAAAATTAGACAACGCATTAAGAAAACAGTACTACCTCTGACAAACTAGTATGGCAGATTTATTATATTGATCATAATCAAAATATTCTTGTTACATCTCTCATAATCATATAATGATATATATATATATAACAATAAACTTAAACTAGCTTATCTTTCTTCTTATGTATAGTTACCACAAAACGAAAATCAACTGATAGATACATGATCTGAACGTCGTATGTAATAAATTTAAATACAAAGTTTCTATGTGTGTGTCTATCATACATACTAATAATTTGTTGAGACAAGAAAACTGAGAATTTTTTTCCTCAAATAAAAAACCAGACATAAATCAAATAATATGTAACGAATCATTTGTTGTGAAGCGGGTTTGGACCCTCCGGAACTTCTCTAACTGAAACTCCGTAGATCTGATCGTTCTTCTCGCCGGTTCTCACTTCCGATAGCATTCTCTCACCATCATATCTTAGCTGTCGGAACTGTTCTTGAAACTCCTCCGTGACCGTCATGCTAGGAAGCTTGCGGGCGTCTGAGGAAAGATGACGTCCGGCGAAGAAAATTATCACGAGGACGAGAAATGATAATCTTGAGCTCCAAAGCTTCATTTTCTTTTTTCTCCAGCAGAAATTTCTTGGTTTTTTGGCTAATGCTGTTTGATGTGGTCCATGTGGATGAGTTAAGCTTATAAGATTTATATAAGAAGGAAACAAAAAAATCGTATTAATTCAACAGATGTTGGTAGTTCCATTATGGAAAGACAAAATTAACCTTTCCTTGGTCTACAAGAAATGTTTTATGGTGTTGTTTGTTATATAAAACCATTGTGCATAGTTGGGTATTCATGTAGTTTACCTCAACGGGGTGGAGTGCTCGCATGGATCTCTCCAGTTTCACACCGTTGACTTGAAAAATAATTGTTTTGTTTCTGTTGCGACTCCTATAAATTAATTGCTTATGTACTTTGAGATCAAATTTTGCTTAGGCGTTAACATAAATAGAGATTAGTTCTAGCCTCTAGGCAATATTAATTGACTTTTATTCGACAAATATGCATTGTTAGCCGAATATATTTTTATCTACTTAAATCTGCCTTATTACATTATTTCAAATCTTACACAATTACTAATGCGCATTTAAATATATTACAAACTGAATTTTCTTAGAGCTTTCGATCAGGGACACGTCGAAGATATCTGACGGAAGTCAGGCGTCAATGGTGACGACTCTTGATCAGTTTTGTAAACTACAATAAATCCAGGTTGATGAATAGTCAAAAAGATTTGATAGTCATAAAAAGAAAATCATTTAGTATATGTTAAAAGGAAAACAAATAAGGAGATGAGAACTTGTTGACACGAGAGAAATTTCTTTATTTTGAAAAGTAAAAATCTAAACAATACAAATTATATATTGAAGGCTACAAAATAACAAAAGTAAATTTTAAAAAAATATCACTTGTTGTGAAGTATCCAATAACTTTTCTGACGGAAAGTCCGATCACTTGTTACATGCGCTGACATCTCATGACATTCTCTTGCTGTCTAAACTTAAATACGGAAGAATAGAACCCCGTAGGAAAGAAAGATCAGAAAGATTAGAAAAGATAATCATTTGGTTATTAAAGTAGTTTCATAGATGAGTGCTCGCATGTTCGGTCTCGTCAAATACTTTGACCATTACGCGCGTTGCTCTCAACATAATTGTCTTGTAACTTAGAATCAAATCATTTACGCGTTAGCATATAAATATTGTATTAATGTTGTTTTGGATAGAACCTCCACGATGAAGCCATAGACGACTAGACTTCATACTATTGACAACTTCGTCATCTTACAAAACGTTTTTGAAACATAAAAAGTAGACAAAACTAGTAATTGGCTTCGCTAATCATCACCAACGTTATTAATATTGCATTCCACGGCAACCCAAACAGCGATGGTCAATCTGATTATCTAAAGTGATAACTATAGCAAACATTAAGATTGTTTGTACCATATCATATGCAAGTGTAAAACTAAAGCATCATTTTCAGGTTTTTAGTCAAAAGAAGCATAATCTGTAAAACTTAAGACTATCTGAAAAATCCGATGGAGTTTTGGTGGAGACATCAGACAGTCATTTTATATTCATCATGTGACGAATTACATCTCTCAGCATCCTCGAAGAAGTTCATCTTCCTCTTGTCCACTGTGAGAAGTTTTAAGCTTATCTTCTTCACATCTTGTGTCTTGGCTCTTGACAGTGACTTTTTCACAGATTCACTGCGATCATTCTTCACCCTCGACTGCAAACGATTAGTACCTGAACTAGCTGGTTGTTGAACTCTGTTTTCTTTATCGGTTTCATTGAGCTCAATGAACCATTAGTAGTGGAACCGCTTGGATGAAAATCAAGCCCCTTCTTCTTCTTTCTAGTTTTCTTTCCAGTTCTTGTTTTTTTTTTTTCACATTTTCCTGCAAAGAATCTAATACATTTCTGATAACATTGTCAGGCTCTTCTCCATCTACAGCTTTTATAGGTTCAACATTGTGCATCAGAGGCAACGACCAGAGTATCTTCTTCATCTGGCGTCTTGGATTTTTTGGACTTTCTCTTCTTAGTAGGCTTCACAGATTTTAGCCTCATCGGCATCTGCTGAAGATGTATGGTGCAGACAAAGCTGAAGTAGTTCAAGGACGGAGCTGAAGTAGTTCATGAAGCACGACATGAACTACTGGGTGAAACGTGGAGTGGAGAGCTAAGCAAGAAAAGGAAGGAGTCTTTTATAAAGAGGTGAAGATATTTATCAAGGCGTGGGCTTTAAGGAAAAGGAGTGGAGAATAAGCAACCGATGA